CAACTTTGAACTACATGGCATTGTTTAAGGTAAAGTACCTGGATGTGTGTCGTAAAAAAAAGCTAAAGACTGTGGAGCTGGGGGGGGGCAAAAAAAAGCAAAACTGAAAGTGAACTCCTCCTAAAGATAGAGACCGAATTGTTTCGCTCTCCTACCGGGATGTAAACAAGCACAGTGAAAAGATAGCGTCTCGTAGGGGCAGCGTGGTTTGGCAGTAATTTGATCGAGAGAATTTAGATTAAAACGTATGAAGGCTGTGTCGCATATCGACCGGAGCAACGTGTAACCCAGGGTTAGCACAGCCGTGTGGATGCTAACCTGCATGGAGGAGCGAGGGCTTGCAGTGCTAGCACTTCTAACATAAGCCACACTCGCCAAATCATGTTAAATCGTTTACCTGCTGAAAATTTGTAATAAATTGTGCTCAGTTTTGACAGTTTTGTGATTGTTCTCTTAACTTTAGACTATTACATTACCGTTAAAAAAAAAACTAAAAAAATAAATCATTTCGGAACATCCCCAGGCACCAGAGTGAGCATCTTTCTGAAGAACATAAGAGTTGCGTATTTCCTGCTTCCAACAGCTTCATGCACCAATATCTGCCAATGATTTGATCGAGACATCAGCATTTTGGATCTCTGAATGACTTGTATTTGCTAATATTGAATTTTTCAATAAACAAACTCTCTGAATTGCACACATTTGAAGTGAAGTAATCCGATAGAAACCTGAAAATTACAGCATCAAGGTTTCAGATCTCATTCTTTTTGGATAATTAAGTTTCTCATGTTCATTAAAAACAACACGGCCCTACATAAGACGAAAACCGATACCTAATGAACAGGTAAACAGACGCATTGTACGTAATCATACCAATGACAGTTAAAGGATAGTTACACTCGTCCTTTGCAAGCTTTGGATGTACAGCCTCCTTTAAAATGACAAATGTTGGACCTTTTAAGCTTTGCCACACTAACGTAAGTGATGCAACACATGTAGGCTGCGCTAAGCTAACCTAAGCTAATCTAACCTTAACCTCATTATCTTCACAATTATCCTCCAAAATGTCCTGCCTGTCCTTCTTTATACCTCGTTCCCAAAATTCCTGCCATTTTTTGTCTGTTCTGTTCCTCTCAATCAAATCTGTCCCATCTTTTCTCCTTCTCCTCCTCTCTGCTGAGCTCTGCTGGTGATATTGGGTTTTGGGGGAGGGAAGGGAAAGGGGGGGGGGGGCACAGTGGCAGTGCTGGCATCTGTTCGAAGGGCTGGCACGCTGCCAGCCACTGAGCATCGCTCCGGCAACCGGAGTCACGCTGTTGGATTTATCTCCAACCAACCTGTCAGCTGATGCTCTTTGTGGGCGTAAGACGAGTGGGCACAGCCTCTTTGGCACTCGCAGTGCCAGGGTGCCCAGAGGAGATTTAAATATGAGGGGAGGGGGGACGGAGAGCCTCTTGTGGGTGCTACAATGCTTTCAAAAAAAGTGAGGAAGCTTTTGAGAAAGAAGCACCCCAACTTCCAACACAGGCTGAAGCCCTCAAAGAACATGAGGGGGGGGGGGAGAGAGAAAGAGTAAGGTATGGATGTTGAAAATGAGAGTATAAGGCACAGCGAAGGGGGGTAGATAAAAGGTAGAGCATTGAGCAAGGGGAAAGATCGAGAGAGTGACAGAGGAGCCCAAGAGGTAAGAGTAACTGCATCTGAAGCGTACAGGGAATCTAACATAAAGAGCGAAGAGAGAAGAAAGAGGCAGAGTACATTTCTTCAAAAGACAAAGCGGCTGAGTTTAAAGAACAGTCTATCACCTTGTGGCTTTAAGTGCCATTTCACATTCTCTTTGAGCATCGCTGATACCAAACAACAAAGTCAAACACACCTGCTCGAGGGAAAGTGAGCTCATTAAATTCTAATTCTCGCTTCCTTCAGGTATCGCACACTAAATGTCCAATAATCCCGTTCAGTCCAAACAGTCACTGGCTCGTAAATGTTGCGGCGTTCCATCCAGGGAACTCCCTCGGATATTTCAGCGTCCACACAAACCTCAGCGAGCGTTCAAGATGAGAGTCACTGGTTCAGCCTGCAGGTCCCCGAGATGAGCAATGAATCAATTTAATGCTAATGTAACCATTCAAGCAATTAGCACCATGACGTATTCATATGCTACGATTACTCATTTGGATGTCCGTGCAATTTCCCCGAACAGTACAGAATAATTTCAAACCCATTCCGAGGGTCTTCTTCACGCATTTCTGACAGAAGGTCACGATATGAAATGTGCTCATAAAATCCCACATGTGTAAGTCGACATTTTAGATTCCATCAACAAACAATCTGCCTACAAAATGACCCTCCCAAAGAAACGCTATGAATCAATTCGCCTCTTATGTAACCATTAAAACAATTACTACCGTGACCCTTTTTTATGTAATTATTACTAAGCTGGTTGTCACGGCAACTTCCTGAAACGGAATCACTTAAACGCACACTAGATAGCTATCGAAGAGGTCTTTTCACACATTCCTAAAACACACAAGAAATATTAGATTGCTTAAAAGCTCATGTGAAATTCAACATTTGGCACACCATTTACAAACCACCTGCTCACTGAATTATGAGGTCAGGTTTGCGCGTACCAGAGATAACTCATTAATTAATTGGACGACACTTTTATCACCATTCATGCAATTAGCACCATGACAAATGTTTAACTGATGATAACTCGGCTGGTTGTCGAGCAATTTTCGAAACAGAAAAAAAAGTCAACTAAATCCAAATAGTATGAGTCTTTTCTCACAGACCATACTGCAAAATGTGCTTGTGTTATTACATTTCTACTTTCCAATTTTTCAACTCCAGTAGCGAACAACCCGCCTGCAGATTTATGGGTTTGGTTTAACGCTTCACGCAATAAGCAATGAATCAAGTGGCCCCTAATATGACCATGCATGTAATTAGTACCATGACAAATGAAGAAGCGGTTATTACTCAGCGGCTTGTCTTTGCAGTAGAAGAGTAACTTAAATCACACACTGCAGGGCTTTAATCTGACCAAATGCTGGAGCACAAAACACAATACTTAACTGTACAATATATCAATTTGAAGCTTTAATTCTGAACCACCTGCCCAAACATTCATGGGCTTTGGTTTCCTTGTCCCAGAGATAGGCAACGAATTAATCGACCACTGAGTTACAGTAACCATTAAATCAATTATTACCATGACAGATTTATAAGCAATGGTTTCTTGGCTGCTTGTTCGCGCAACATCTTGACCAGAACACGTTCGTTTTGAACCCACACTGTGCTTCCTTTTCACACTTTCCTAAAGAAATGCCTATTTGATCGTGGAAAATCAAATATGCATTTCTACCTTTGAAGCTCTTAATTGTCACAAAGATAAGCAATTAATGAATTGGATGTTAATATGTCTCCATTCATTTAATTAGTACAATGGTAAATGTAGAATTGATGATTACTGTTCAGTAGTGTTGATATCTGATTGAAATCTGACAATTTTTGAAGGTCTCGTCTTGGAATCATAATCATTTTGACTCGGTCTTGTCTCGGTCTCGGACAGTGCGGACTCCAGATTTTACATCAAGACCGGTCAAGACCACCATTGATTGCCTATTTTTCCACATCATATCTGTGAAAAGCAAAAAATACTTTTATTTTTGTCCCCCAGTTACGGTTGCAACCTTCCCGGTGTTACAGTCTAAATAAGAGGCATGCCCCCTGCACACAGGATGATGATTTTTTTCAGTGATATTTATGGTCTTGGTCTTGTCTAGCTCTGCCTTGGTCTTGGTTTTGGCTCTGTCTTGATCTCTAGATGTCTCGGCCTCGTCTTGGTCTCGGTTAGTGTGCTCTTGACTACAACATAACTGTCCAGGCTAGCTGACTCTTTCACAGAGCCTTCTACAGCACAATACAATTTTAGATTGGCTAAAATCTATCACTGTATTATGCTGTATAGGCATGTAAAAATCTGGGGTTCAATAATTTCATCATCTCGCGATCAATGTATCCATTCAGACCAATAGACCCATGACAAATTGAAAAGCTAATGATAACTGTAATGGATGTCTGTGTAAGTTCCTGAAAGTTCCAAAACAGTCACTTTTCACACATTCCTGAAGAACATCATAAAATAGTCGACTACACAGTAATACATATCCACTTCGGTATTCGCAACTCCAATCCAAACCACCTGCCTACAGAAGCAGCAGCGCCTTTAAAGAACTGAAAAGCAGCACAATATTTGATCAGCAGTATCCAAAATCCAAACTTCTCACATGAAAGCATTCTGCGTTGCTCAGCAGGGAGATGTCATGACACAAAACAGGGCAGCTTAATCACACTATTTCAGACATCGCTCCGTCTGTGAAGCCATTATGTATCCAGAGACAGTGCGGCAGACGGATTGAACATTCAGTGATAACAGCGTTTACGTTATCTCTACACAGTCACAACATGATAAGAGTCATAATTTTAATATTCTGAAATGTCCCTGTGTCGGACCCGGCTCGCTCCTGTTTCTGACGTTTGCTCTGGAAGGGAAATTAGCAAGAAGTGAGTAAAATTCCTGCAGCCATGTGACCCGACCATTGATCCAGGATCAGCAGTTCCAGCCTGCAGACTAATGCCAACTGAGAGGAGGATTCCAGAGGGGGCCCCCAAGCAAAGTGATAAGACGCTTATTCTCAGTATAACTTAATTCATTCAAGAGCTGCAACATCGCTTTAATCAGCCTATCTACAGCCTGCTGTTATTCCGTTTTTGTGCCAACTCATTCCGAAAAAAGCAGAATGCAAAAATCTCATCAATGCTTGTGGCGCCGAAAGTGTGTCAACTTAGAGATCCTTCACATGGGGAATGTTTGAGGGAGTCATTATCCTTTGCGGCGTTCATTTAGTGGCAGGTGCATTCGAGAGCACCAAGCAGAGGCAGATCATTGTGTTTATCCGCCGAGCTTTAACAAAAATATCTGCTCTACTTACGACAGTTCTCTTCGTCGCTGCTGTCCGAGCAGTCGTCGTCATCATCACATCTCCACAGGGTCGGGATGCAGCGTCCGTTCTTGCACTGAAACTGCCCGGTTTCACACTCCGACTCCGTATGAGTTCCTGTGTTGTCAGAGGAAATAACACAAGTTGTCCATCACATTTTTGTTCTCAGTGGGGTAAAATAAATGAATACGTATGGATACTACAGACACAGAACTTGACTTTCAATAGTAGTGAAAGTGTAATAAAGACATTCTATTTACAAGGAACACTAAAGGCATGTACTGTAAAGAGATAGTACGCACTTTATCAACATCAGCCTGTGGCAAAAAAGGGCTCTCAACTCCCATCTGTTTACATCCTGTTTCCACGATTTCACAGGGTTACTAAATGTGTAACAACAATCTGAAAACAGCTGAAATACTCTAGATGACATGCATGCCTTGACTTATGCTAAAGAAGGCTTATTCTGTCCTAAAAATGTAGGCTTGTTAACAGTAGCTCTAAATCATCCAATGCTGTGGGAAGGCTCCTTCCAATAATAGCCTGATGGGTTTCCTTCAAGTGTTTTCGTTGCCACAATATGATTGGCACATGTATGTGTTTGTCTGTATGTGTAAACACATCAAGAGGCTTTGCTATGAGCTTGACAGTCCAGCACCAAGTGACCTAATGGCAGTTAAAGGTCCCCTTAATGCAAATCTACTTAAGCGTTTTCAGCGTGCAGCTACAACAATACTGAACGCAGGTCCGTTGCAGGTTTACACATCCCCGCAGAGAAACAGGCTCCTCTCTGTGTAACACCAGCCTACAGCATTTAGACACGTGTGTTTTGGTTGTAGGTTACGGATCTTTTCTTCCGCGTCTTGTCACCTCATGTCACCGGCGTTTGCTCTTGAGTACGCGTGCCAAAAGCGGCGATCCAGGTGTGATCCATAACATTGGTTATTAAGAACGCTGCGTAAAGAGGCACGCTGTTTCCGAAGAGGCAGCGATCATCCCCCCCCCTCTCAACACACACACACACACAAAAAAAAAATAGAAAAGCTGCTGCTGTGTCCGTGATGCAAAATTCACCTCCTGGCTGAGACTTACCTTTAGCGCAATGGAGCTCCATGAGTAACAAATGCAATAGCACCAGCTTCCCGATTTCAGTCCACATCTTTAGATCCAGCGAGTTGTAAGTGAAAAAGCCAAGTGAAGGATCCCCCAAACCTCTCGTTCACTCTCGCTGTGTGTTTCCTCCTCCGTGCCTCTGCTCCGGAGTGTGTGAGAGTGAGTGTGTGTGAGCAGCAGCTCTCCTTTCTTCCTCTGGCTCGGCTGCAGTTTGAATCAGTGACGCTGTATGGGCGGGTGAGCTGGGGTTGGTGCCTGCGGTTTGATAGTAGGTAGTGAAACTAGACCAGAACTGTTGTTAGACTGGAATGTGACTGCTGAGCCACCTGCAGCAGACTGACAGATTCATTTTGATATTTTTTACTGGCTATCAAGAACCTGCAATTAAAAAAAGTTTTTGTGTTTATCCTGTTTTATTTAGAGTAGCCTATTCATATAAATCATGTTCAACGAAAGGGACACATGGTCTATGATATATTGCTGCTTAGATAGGTTGGCTCAGAAAAAGTGGACATAGCCTCATGGTTTCAAAAGTGAAGCCAACAAGGAGCCGTCTTAAACACGCATTATTTATAATTGCAAAGAGAAGCCATGTGCTAAAATGACTTGCTGGATCTATTTCCAACTCACAGTGTATCAGTTGTGCATTTCTCCCCTCGAGCTCGACTGTTATTTTCACATTGCTTTATGACTCATGCAGTGTAAAAAGGGTTAGTTTCTTTTCAACGTTTGCACGAGCAGTTTGATCATGAGATGAGTTGACTACTTTAGTGATGTTAACACTAATGTTACGGTTCATTGGATATTTACATTGGCCTAATGGTACGGACAGATGCTGGTGGTCTTACATTTTTTTATGATACGTTGTAAGCTGGAAATCGATCAAGCAAGTTTAACCTCAGGCTCAAATAAGTTTGTTCTAAATTAGCATTAATGCTGTATGCCTTTCATATCGTATACGAGCTTCTCAAACAAAAATGTTCACCAGGAAGTGTCTGTGTGCTAACCCACTAACGAGTCGTTGGATATGTTGTTGTTTTATAACGCACGTCAAGGCCAGTTGTGTCTATGGATTTTCAGTATCAATTGTCCGTGTACTTTTCATCAATCGGGATGCTTTGAAATGAAGACAGTTGCTCAGATTTGTTGTCAGAGAGGTTAAGATGACTTAAACGTGGAGAGAAACAGCCAGACAACATTTGGGCTTCCCACCCCGAAGCATGATGTCATGGCAAAAGGTATTTGTGCATGATCATATTTCATGTTGCATTTAACCATATCTAATTTTGCATGTGACCAATGAATTTGACATTAAAATAATAACTGATCATACGTGAGTGATATGTCTTGCTAACCACACTCATTAAGATGAAACACCATTTTCTAGTGATTTGTTTTGCCTTAATTCAAAATGTGACGGATGGATACGAGATTGGCATCAATTGGAATAAGTGTATTCTCAAAATCCTTTTTTTAAAGATGTATTTTTGGGCTTTTTGTTCCTTTATTGTAGAGATAGGAACGTGGATAGAGTCCTAAATCAGGGAGAGAGAGAGAGACAGACGTGTGTAGGAGCCACAGGTCAAAATTGAACCTGGGCGATGATAATGGCCTCCGTACACGGGGCGCACACACTAACCACTAGGCTACCTGCGCCCCTTCTCTAACTACCTTAAGGCTGCCTTTAATGAGTGTTGATGAGACATCCAATCAGGGCACAGATGTAGCTATAACCTGCATTTTAGAGAGGATGAATTGAATTCTTTGACATTTCTTTCGTCCATCCTATTTAGATTCCTTTTCCACTTTCCATTTAGTGGAGGCAATACGACTAGGGTGAGCGCCAGATGAAATTTCTCTTTTTGAAAATGGGAGAAACTGCTACTTTGAAAAAGCAAAAGCATGCAAAAGCATTATCCTGCAGGTGATACAGCATAAAGTTTCAGTTCCATTTTTTCTCCTGTTTATTCTTTTTTTTTTTGTATCTGTAGCTGATACACCTGCTCTCTCTCTCTCTCTCTCTCTCTCTCTCTCTCTCTCTCATTTTCTTTTTTTTAGGAAGCATTTTGTTATAGGTCACATTCGTGTCATCCAAGTGTCAGCAACTTTACAAAATACTGTCCCTAATCCAATCAAACAAACGCTTTTTTGAAAACAATAACACCAGAACTGCTGCTCTCATCCTCCAGCATCCTTCAGTGGCGTGTGTCATTCCCCATGGCAACAGATACGGAGAAACAGGGGCAACATCAGGAGTTTTATCCAATTTTGCTTGACAATTGCCTCAAGCTGAAGCTGTTTCCTCCTGCTTTTGAAGGGATTAAATAGGCCAAAGGTTATTCTCAGTTCATGTCAACTAAAGGAGGCCTATTAAAGAGTTGAGTGACTGTTATAGCGTTTCTCCAGGTGAGAAAAAAAAAATCCATAAGTGCCTCATGTGTCATACAGTCTGTGGGATTTGAGGCTGACCGATAAAAATATCCGTCATTTAATGGAAAGTGTTGGTGGGGGGGCATGTACAGTCGTATCTGCAGAGACACTCAACGGCGGTGAAGATGAATATGAAGAATAGAATCTGATTTGAATGGAGAGTGTGTGTGTGTGCAATGAAAGGGAACATGCAGCTCTGTACTGCTGTACTTTGCAGAGAGAGAGAGTTGAGTTTTGATTTGTTGCAGTTCAGCGTGGCTTATGTGCATGAAATGACTTCAACACATGAATCAACACATGAATAATGAATATGACTACTGTATAAATAGAGAAAAAAATACCATTCTTGCCTCTTATACATTATTCAGTATAACGAGTGTGAATGAAACTTTAAAAAGGCTGGCAATAGGTGCAGAAATGTTCAAAATAAGGCGCTGCGTCACGTTCACATCATTTGCTACCTCTGTTAGTTGTTGCTAAGTGCCCCCCCCCCTCGAGGGAGAAATACAACAGAAAGGGAAAGTGTGTGTTAAGGTCTTCACTCAAGATTTATGTTCAAAATATTCAAGAAGCAGAGTCTTGTTGGCATCAAATTGCTTTTATGATTCATCAACTTCACTGTCAATAACCACGATATATTCCCAGATACTGCTTCATTTTCTCGACTATTATCTGCGCTGTGCTGTGAACCATAGAACATTTTACATGCACATCTGGTGTTACATCCTCTGGGTTTTGTACTGTATATCTTTGTCTCGTGCACAATATGTTTCATGTATGCATAACTACTGTATGTTCTGCCATCTTTGATCCATCAAGCCCACATGATTACACCATGTGTTTTGTACTTACAGTGAATGAGCTCGGGGATGGGCATGAATTAGAGCAGAAGAGCGAGGGCAAGTTTTTTTTTCTGGCCAGACTCTCTGGACAGCTGCCAACTGAAAAAATGCTGGAGGAATCCTCAATATACTCAGAGCCATTGGATAAAAAGTCAAGATGCATGATATTACATGCTTCCTGGAAGTCAATTATTTTCAAACTATTTGCAGGGAGCTGTGTTTTTTTTTTTTTTTTTTTTTAAGATGAGAGGAGAAACACGAGCAGAAGTACAAAACAGTGTGGAGAAGCTTAAAGACAACCATGTTACCTGTCAGATTATAAGTCAGAAATCGGAGAAAGACAAAGTGTGGAATGACATGCGGGAAAGGAGTCACAGGTCGGACTCAAACCTGGGTCGCCCGCTTGGAGGACCACAAACTCCGTACATGGGGCGGGCGCACTTATCACTACGGTACCGGCGCCCCTGAAAAAAGTATTTTCATTTGTCTTTTCTTCCTTCCTTCCATTACTCAGATAGTTGAAGAACTTAAAGGCTTTATATGTGATTTTTGGTCCGGCAGATGTTGCCCTTGAGCACCAGCATGAAACAAAACAACTCGCGTGCATTGTTGTGTTAGCATGCTAATGCTAGCGATCTTTATTATGCTGGTATCTTCACACTGCATGTAAATTTACCTGAAATGAGCGTGATCTAGAAACACAGTTAAGCAGTGAGTACAGTATGTTATTCTTCTTTTCTCTAGTCCCTCAATTAAACAACTTTAATTCACGAGGGGAGGAGTCAGTCGGCCGTCCGGGCAATGTAAACAAACTGAAGATAGGACTCTGAAAACTCTGAAAGCATCACAGACAGTGGGACTCTGGTGTTACACCCATTGTAGACAGTCATGACTCACAGAGTTATCTTCAGAGGATATACTTGATTTATATTACATTTAAGTGTGAAAAATTGCATATAAAGCCTTTAAAGTAAAGCAAGTAATGAGATACTTGTTTGATGAGTCACAATAATGTGAATACTGAAGTGAGCAACATTAATGCCTTACATGACTGCATAATGTAATCTGATTGCACAAACGCATTACTTTTACCACGTTACCCTCAGTAATGATTAATACTGAGAGCAATTACCAGCATGGTATTATATGTTGAAGGAATATGATGCTCTATAGCCCTCTATTGTCATCTTTAGAATCTGTCTCCTAACTGATTCATTCCCAAACTTTGCAGCTTGCAAACCCTAAAATAATGGTACTCAAGACTGGAGACCCTCACTCTCCCTGGAGGTGGTTAAGGCATTGATGAGTTGGAGTAAAAGTGTTGCAAAAACCTGATGCCTATCATAGCTTTACCCTAACTCTGGGAGTTTGGTGATTGTCGACTGAGAAATATGTTAGATTTAATGAAAAAGGAGACTTTTAAATGTGTATTTTAACATATGATCAAACCATTGTAGGCCTCCTATCCTGCCTGGTTCTGTATATTTACATTCTTTTCACAGCTCTCTGAAGGAGAGAAAACCAGGAATGCAACAGATTTTGCTGAATGCATCACTTGTGAAAAAAAAAAAAAAAACATCAACTCAGCAGTTCCACAAAATTCAGAGAAAGGACAGAGGGGAGGACGTGTGTGCGGTCAGCCATTGTGTGTCTGAAGTGAAGCTGAGCAGCAGGGCTGTTCCAGTACCACACTCTCTCTCACCAAGTTTCTTCACTCACATTCGACTGTTTCTGATTTTTTTTGTCCCCTTGAGGTCAATGTTGAAATTGTGTTCATCTCTCATCCGTGCGCACACAGCTGGCGCGAACTTCTGCATTCATCTTTTGCCGCAGGACAGTGAGTGAGTCTGACTGAGACCTTGAGACCTTTCAGATGATTACTTTCC